CTTCTAGCAGCAAGTGACCTTGAGTCTTCCCCACCCGTGCGGAGCTGACCAGAGCTGGTTGAAACAACTAGCAGCAAGTGGCCTTGAATCTCCCACACACACCTGCAGAGCTGACCAGAGCTGGCTAATGGCCCACTTTGTTCTCGACCTGCCGCTCTGCACCTAGTACCGGCATGGCCCATTTGGCTCAGTGCCCACTTTGCTCTCGACCCTCCACTCTGCACCTAGCATGGCCCATTTGGCTCAGTGCCCGCTTTGTTCTTGCCCACCGCTCTGTACCCAGCATGAATACACCCGGAACCAGGAAGACACCTTACATTCCAGAAACCCGGACATACCTGTCCATATAAGCAACAGCTCTGTAGCCTGCAGTGTGACTCCTCCAGCCCCGATGTTGTGGACTGTGAGACTTCGCCCAGGCTGGGGTTTTCTCCCTAATAAAGCCTGTTCTAATTCTACTGATTTGGTCTCTGGCACCTCTCGACTACCTTACAGAAAGACTATTAAAATATTCCTGACAGAAAACAAAACTGCTATTTAAGATATTTCTATATTGTTTCTTTTTTAAAAATCATTTTATTGGGGCTTCTATATTGTTTCTTAATTGGCAGCTTTACCTGCAATATTCTTTGCTTTTCTCTGAGCATCATTGGCTGTGTGATTTATCCTTAATCTTTTCACTGTAAGAGTAGGATCCTTTGATAGCAACATATGTACAAATGTGATTGGTATAACTTATGTATGGATTATAAGCTGTAAGAGCCCCTAATTAAATATTTATAAAACAAACAAAAAGAGTAGGATCCCATTCCTTTGGAGGTACGCCAAGTAGACACCAGTCATTGTGTTTGATAGATTAGAAACAGGGACTTCATTTCTCTGAACATATGTTCATCTTTGAAAAACGCCTTTCCGCTTCTGCTGCACTTATAGCGATTGTTCTGAAAACATTAGCTCTTTGAACACTTTCAAGAATTGCATAATTCACTCATATCTTGTGGTAATCTGGGGCATAATGAATGACATGTGTCACCCTCTGGTTGTTTGACACTTTCCCCTTTACATATATGCTTGTTTACTGAAG